GAATAAAAGAGAGGAAAAATCCACAGATCTATGAAATAATGTCAGGGAATAATCATTAAAGGACCATTTAGAGTTTAAAACTCAGAAATGCCAGGGTAAAGGTCTAATCTGGCTTTCTTAACCCCTTTTAATTGGAATGAAATGGATGTGCACTTTAGCGTGAAGGGGGACGGTGAGGACATCACTCCTGTCCTGGGTTTGGCACCGAGCCTTTTCGAGCCGTGTAAAGAGGAACGCTCCGCCAGCATCTTTATCTCTGCTGCTCTCAGACCTGACCACCGCATCTCCTTAATAACGGACACAGCAGCTTGTATTTAAGCGGTCAGCGGCACCTTCAGCATGTTGAAGATAATCTTCATGCCCAAAAGTAAAACATTCATGTGAGGACTGGTGGTTCGTGTCGGTGCTCGCATTCATTACCTGGTTAAGAGAAAAGACGAGCTGGGAGTTTTACCCACGGTTACTGTATGACTCCAGTGGAAATGGAGGAGGGGTGGGGGGGGGGCAGGAAGTTCTCCATAGCAAAGCTTTTTGCCCTCCTGGCTCGCATCCCAAGTGCAGACAACAGACGTCGTCATTTTCCAACTCGATTTACAGAAGCATTAGGAGATGCTGAGACGCACCCATCCCACTCAAATGCAATCAGCGTGCCTCTGTGTTTTAAGAGGAAGCTAACGGCGCCGTCTTTATCGACTTCTGCTCCACTTCTCCTCCCATCCAGGCCTGGAAAAACACCAAACACCAACCAGCTGCAAATGGTTGAAAAGCTGGATTCAGATTCATAAAACCAGATAAGAATGTAGTTTAATCTGAAGGAAAAGCTCCTGCGGGGGGATGAGATGCTGCTTGGTTAAAGACCACTTCCCTCGTCAGACGGCTCAGAGTTTCGTTTTTAGAAAACGAAAGAGTTTATTGTTTGAAATAAATCGTTTAGATAGTGTAATGAAAAGGCGCGTCATTTGTTTATTATTATTATTATTATTTTTTAATAATCTTGGATTTAATATCTCCAATTTTTGAATTTAACATGTTTTGTTCTGTAGTTTAGTCCTAATCTCAGTATTAAAACACCTGCTAGTACCGTGAAAACATGATAGTTCCAGGTCTCAGAGCTCCAGGACAGTTTTCCCGGAGCTCTGAAGATAATTCAGGACAAAGTCCTCCAGAGAGCTTCATCCTCATCCTGTAATCCCGCAGAGGCTTCGTCCTGTTTGACCCTCTGCTGAAGTTCGGACCAATCCAACGCTCAGAGACAAACGGAGAGGAGAGCTGCATGCCAGACAAAGGATGGGGGGTTGGGAATGGCAGGAATGACAGGATGAGATGGGAAAGAAGTGGATGTGGTGGCATCCCTGATCACGCTCACATCCGAAGCTAATTTTTATTCATCCTCTTTTACACCCTTCATTTCTTCAAGTGTCACCCCATCCCTCCTCCCAGCTGTTCACTCCTCTGCTTCACTTCTCCTCTACCCTTTTCTGTCTTCCGTTCTGGATGTTTAAAACGTTTGTCTTTGTTTTACACTGACTCTGTCCCCGAATCACTGACAGCAGGTCGGTCGAACACACAGTAGAAGCAGGTGTTCATGTGCTGAATTTATATGTGCTGCTAAGTGGCTGCATCTCCTCTGTAAAACCCTTTCTCCCTGTTTCTCACTAAGCAGCAGCGTAGATCTATAGCTCTCTGGTGGGGGGGGGGGGGGGTCTCTCTGAGCATGTGGACGTTATCTTGAAAGAGGGGCTGGCTGGCTGCCATGGCAACCATATGATGAGGCAGGCAGGGCTATTTAAAGGAATTCAGCTGCTGCTCCTGTTCCCTGTCAGCTTCACACCAGTCCAGTGAAAGACAAAGACACGTGTGGTGCCTCGCTGCACGAATCATCGTATTAGTTTTACGTTTCAGTTGGAATGTTGCATCTTAGGAGGAAAATGTGTTAAAATAAAGCTAAAGTTAGAGGACAGTAACCCAGTGATGCAAGAATAATCTGCAGAAGGGGCCATTGTACCAATATCTGCAACAATAAATAGACTTTTTCTACAGGAAAGATGGACAAAAGTAAGTTGTTGGTGTTATTTAACTCTGTAGCTTCTAACCTTATATCAGGGTGTAAAACAACCTTCTGGTGGGCATTAATGTCGTAGTTTGAAGTAAAACTCCAAACGGTTTAAGCTGTGAGGGATTTTGGGAGGTGTCGTAGACTACACAGCACTATTTAGCTGAATTATCATTTAAAAGTGAAAACATTTAATGATTTACAGGAATCAGCTCCACTAATGGCCTCATTAAAGTGATAGGTGATTCTCCCCCTTCCACGAATACCTTTCTTTACAACCGTGCTGATATTTCTACATTTCAATCTGAAGTGCACAGTAATTGGTAAAGCTGCTTCTGTTCTTTTATCTCTCGGTTGAGCCTGACGTGCCGTTCCTGCGCTTGTGAGAGCCGTCAAAAAGATTTAAAGAGCTTCACAGAAGCAGAATTATGAGTGACCGATCTCCTAGCGCTCCCTCTGCTCTTCACCGTGCTCTTTATCTCATTCTAATCCCAACTCATTTCATATGCTAAGTAAAAGCTTATATCCCTCTTCACTGTACGTCCACGCACATCCCTCATTGCTCTGGTGTGATTATAAAATTTCCATAAAGGCTGTTTTTTTAAACGATAGACTAGAAGCAGGGGGTTGTGGGTGGTCTAATGCCTGGCAGGTGTGGAGAGGTGGGGCTTGAACTCTCAGAAGCTCTCATGTCTGTGTTGTCAATGAAAATCCCACAAGAGGAAGCTGGAAATAAAAGTTCCTTCATGTCTGTGCCTCTGCCCACGTCCGACAGTCTCCTCACCGTCTGATTTGCATGTTCTTTTTGCACAGATGTGGCTCAGATTGGAGGGCGATGAAGAGGCAGAGCTGCCTCTGCACCCCTGGAGAGGATGCAGCGAGGTGGAACCACTTGCCTGCTTCCCTGATGGGGAAGGAAGGAGGAAAAATGAAACCGTTTCTCCATCAGACCCGGTGGGGCGGGACAGCTGGTGTTGTGAATCAGGCCGCCAGAGTCCACGGACCGGCTACTTCCCAACACCAGGGTCTCACCGACACTGCTCACGTCTGTCTACATGCACAGTCCTCGTAGGTGTGGAACACTTTCTTGTTGTCTTTGCAATAACAATTAAAAAATGGGTCCAGAGTTCAAAATAAAAGATTGCAGTGTGATAAGAGTTGATAGTTGCAACTGTTTTTGTCTAATAAACATAAAAAATTTTGGAAACTATTTTGTATTTTTATTTTTGCAACTTTCCAAAATACTAACATGTCACATGTGGATTAAATTAAATGAAATTCCCAGATAATGTTGGGAGAAAAGACCAATCAAGTGAATTTTAAACATTTCAGAGGACCAATGACTCCCCACCAGCAGCCCTGCAGTCACGTTCTCAAAAACGATGGAAAATAATGAACAAAATACCACATTTTGATACTTCAAACTGAAATGCTGCACTTGTCAAACTGGTAAAACAATAAAACATGTACATTTTTCCTGTTCTATCGTCCTGACAACATCCATCACGTTCAGCAGAATTTACAGAGGCACATTAAGCTCATCGTTTCCTCCGGAGGCAGGGCATATATCCTGTAGACATGTAGAGGATGAGCCGGTTTAGAGCAGCTGCTCCCTCTATAATTATGTTTTCGTTCAATAAACCTTTATTTACAAGATGTTTACAGAACAGTTACATATCATTAATGTAGAATAGTTTCATTTACTTTGTGTTTTTGCTAGTTTCTTCATACTAGCTTCAGATATTAATATTAGGGCCTCTAGGCAATATAGCTGCAGTCATGAAAAGATTATGAAGCAGCAGTTCTTATTCATGGCTAGGATAACATTTTATAACCAGTTTGTCTCGTTTGCTTATTTAGTGGTTGTCATAGTGAACCTCTTTTTCTTTATTTCTTTATTTTGTCACGTTTTATGTCCTATTGTAATATCTGCTTCCCTCAAAGTGGCGATCTTGTGACAAAAATGTTTATTTTTTGCCCTTAATGTCCCATTTTGGTTGATTCCATTGTTAATTTTTTTTGTCTCAGTTTAAATAAATAATCTTGTCTGAATAACTAAGATGTGAAATGTGTGATTATTAGAGATTACAGAGAAGGAACGAGTATATTAATTTTCACTGGAAATATAGGCCTACCTGGTGGGAGTCGTTACGCATGCGCAGTGCTTCCCCAACGCACCTTGCGTGACTAATTGAGAGTGGAAGGAAGAGAGACAGGTCCAGTGAAGAGCGTTGACGAAGTTTCTCATTTGCGAAAACGTCCTAATAACCGTTTTAAAGCAAACCAGCTCGCATTAACTTACGTTTGATAATCGGTCTTTTAAATGTCAGCATGTTTCCAACGTCTGGGAGGGTGAAACTCAACCGAGTGGCGCTGGCCGACGTTGGGCTAAAAGGAGCTCCGCGGAGGCGAAGACCCCCGAAGCCGGAGACTAACGTTTCTACGGACTCCACCGAAAAACAAGGGAAAATTGATTTCGGTCTGATATCCGAGGAGGACGCCGCCTTAACGAGGACAACTGGTTACGCCGCTCATGGACGGCTTGGGGAACGTGGTGTGGTTGCATTCAAGGAGCCAGAAGTGAAGCATAAACAAAGAGTGCCGAACACCAGAGGCAAGTATCACCAGAGTAAAGCGAACTCTAGCAGCTCGTTCAGCGTGGAGGAGAACCGAAGGAAGCGGGTGAGGCTCGGGTGGAGTTTTCCTTGTGTTGCTTGCACTGGGTCAGAGCAGTTTGAGGCCCGCCACAGCAAGGGGAAGGCTAGGCTCGACGCCCATGGAGAGGCTCAAAGAAAGACCGCAAAAAGACCGTTTAGAGCAGAGAAAGCTAAGTCTAGCTGCGCCATAGGAAGAGTCGGCGCAAGAGATGGACAGACATCAATGAAGGCTCCAGGTAGTGTCAACCAGCCTGGCCCGGGAACACTGTCGGTATCCAGCCCGACCTCAAGTAAGGTGCATGTGTGGGGAGGTCTGTGTTTTAGAGAACGCTAGCCTTCTACCGAAATATACTTAAAACTACTTCTTCGTTTACTTTTGTTGTGGTTCGTTGAAATAATTTACCCGATTGTTTTTTTTGTTTTTTTTACATTTCTTGGAGCATGTGTGACGCTAAGCTAACGGCGGGATTAAACTTTCTAATCTAAACATCTGAAATAATTCGTTTTAGAAAATGTTATTTGTATTATTATATTGTTTGTATTTAACTTTAAGGACAGCATCAACGTTTGATCCAAATGGAAAAGTCAGTTTTTCTTTTATTTACCTAAAACACTAGCTAGCACACTGCTGCTAGCATTAGCCATGCACATGGTATGGCAGACTGTTGTAACATTGAATCGAACTTTGACAGTTTAGCTAAATTGTTACCAGTGAAGAACAGAATCTACGCAACCGAGGTTTAAACAGGCATAAAGACATTGATTTCTTTAAAATCCTCAGTTTTTAAAATGATGTTCAATTGGTAAGCAGGAGATGTACCACACAATATGAATGATTTCATTATTAATGTAGAATTTGTTATAGCAGGGCCAGATTAAGACTTTGTTGTACCCTGGGCAACAATATTCAAGGGCCACATCATCACGACCCGAGGATCACCATAATGTGGTCACATACAGAATATTTTACTGTAATATGCAGTAAATATACTCAATAATTGAATGCCTGACATCCCGTAACCCGCTCAGGGTAACCTTTGACCCACCTCGTATGGGCTGACCAATGAGGAGAGGGTCTTAACTTGAGGCCCTCTCTTCATTGGTCAATCTGCATGAGACCGACTCTCAACTGACATTCAGTCATAGGCAGCGAAGTGGAATGGAGTGGTCTCTGTGAACTGCTGCTCCTGAATCTTTAATTATCTTTTCTCAGAATAATATTTTCCCTTTTACATTACACGTGTATGTATTCACTTTCCCTTCATTTCCACTAAACCAATATTCAATCATTTTCTCTTACAATTTCCACAACCTCCTAAACATTCAGGCTTGGCTACAAGACAATGCACAATAAAACATTCATATGTATTCACCAGTGTGACCTAACAGTTACTACAAGAAGCACTCTTTTGACCCGAAACAACATTAAACTCCACGTTTTCTATTATTATAACTAAACCTACTTCAGCACCCTTCTAACCATTAAATATTCGTTGAACACATAAATTTCTGTTAAACCCATTAAAGCTAGGATAGCTCGCAGCCTTACCAGCTGAGCAATTAGCATGTGGGGCTAGGCTATGAGCACAAAACGTTAACGGCTTTGTACGTCTATTTAACTCTATAACTGAACATTTAGCATAAGCTATCAACCGTCACCATTTATAAACTCAAGGCGCACCTCATATAGGTAGATTTGCATGCTTGGGTGCACTTTACTAACCTGAAATGCAAATAAAGAGACGGAGACATCAGAATGGAGTGGTCTCTGTGAACTGCTGCTCCTGAATAACGGTAGACGGGACACAGAGCTCCACTAGCCCCCCACCCCCACCCCCACCCCCCGCCGCCTTGTGGAGAACCCCAGTATTGTGCCCCACACTTTCCTATTCTTTTATTATTTTTACTAAATTACAACACTAAATATTTTAACAAAATCATGTGACCACACTTTGTGGGCGTCACACTCTCGGTCAAACAAGAAATCTCCCCATAACTAAAAATTGCATTTCTTTCTCACATATTTACATATTTTAGCAGTCCTTAACACAGTCACACTTTAATGAATTAATAACAAAGGCTGCATATATACCTGAGTTTGGTCAGGGTTTTTTGGACCCATAATCGGTGATGAGTAAGTAGTACTAGCTAAGTATGGTATGCACATGGCTGGAAGGTAGGTCACAGTTGGGTACGTATTTGTAATGACAGGTGAGTGGTGGGGCTTGTTGTCAATCACACTAACGCTTGCCTGTGTGCGCAGTGACGGCTGACCCAGGAAATCATAAGTGAACACCTGACGTGGTCTTCAATCTCGCGTGGACCTTCTGACCTCCGTGGGTCTCACCTGTTGGTCCTGGTCAGACATGAGATTGTCTCCCAGTTCCTCCTCTGCATGGTCAATAGTAAGTCCATCTTTCCCGGCTCTGATAGACTCCTCCTCCTGTACATGAGGTAACGTGAGATCCTCTCCTGCTTTTCCTGATGGGCAGCGGGTTCCAACTGACACCTCCTCTTTTAAATGTACTTCTGTTCCATCCGTCAACCTCTGTGTCCTCCTGTCCTGCTCCTGACTGATGTGTCAGTGGTTGGTCACCCCTTTGTATTCTCAATCAGTACCCTGAACAGTGTTCTTCCTCAGAGTCACTCTCTGCATCCTGACTGTCCCTCATTTGTTCATTGGTGTGGACAGCTCCCTTCCTGAGTACTCTCCTTGCTCGTGGGTTTGTACTCCTCTTAGATTTTTCCATGGAGACACACCTCTCAACCGGTAGGTCATTTACTAACAACAGGAGATTAACGCGTCCTCTTGTTGTCTCCGCTCTCAGGCGGGACAGTGTACACTGGGTTTTGGCCTATTTGTCCTGTCACTATGTAAACAGCCTTTTCCCAATTGGATCTCAACTTGCCAGGCCCTCCACGTTCACTGAGGTTTCTCACTAGAACCCGATCACCTGTTTGCAACACGACTCCCTTCACTTTCCTGTCATACTCTATTTTCCCCCTTGAGCTGGACTTCTTACTGTGTTCACCGGCGATGCGGTAAGCTTCCGCCATACGTTTTGCCCATTTCTCAGCAAAACCCTTAGGTGAGTATGTTTTTGTCTTCTGGTAGTCCGAATAACAAATCCACCGGCAAGCAGGGATTTCGTCCATACATTTAAAAAAAGGCGAGTATGCAGTGGCTTCATGGCGTGTACAATTATGTGCGTGCACCACAGTAGCCAGATGATCCTTCCACCGCCACTTTCATTCATCCGGTAGAGTTCTTAACATTTGTAAAATGGTTCTGTTGAACCTCTCGGCAGGGTTACCTTGCGGTTGATAAGGGGATGTGCGGGAATGACCCACCCCAGACAGATTTTGAAGTGTCTTAAACAGTTCATTTTCGAACTCCCGCCCCTGGTCGTGATGTAATTTCTGTGAGTACCCAAACCGGGGAATGAAATCCTGAAAAACACACCCAGCGGCTGTGCGTCCACTTTTGTCTTTTGCCTGAGCAAATCTTGTAAAGTGTTCGACGACAACCAAGATGTACTCATATCCTCACACTTTTCTCCAAGTGTAAGTAGTCGACACACACCAGTTCTAAAGGACAGCTGGTGGCTATACTACCCATGGGGGCACGGACATGCGTAACAGTTTTTTTTTTGACATAATACAAGAGCATTTCTGGGTGATATACAACTCTACCTCTTTTGCCATGAACGGCCAATAGAACCTCTCCATGGCTAGATGCAGTACTCTTTCGGTACCCACATGCCCCATTTTGCCATGTAGCTGTTGTAGGACCAACTTCCGATATTTCTCAGGGATAACTGTTTCCTATCTCCTGTCCTTCGGAACAGGAGACCGTCTTCCAGACACAGCTTTGTCCACTCATGTAGCATTTTCTGAGCTGTTCTACCCACTGTCCTCCGTACTTCATCTGTTAACTTGGTTTGTGACTCTTTCAGTCTTATCACCTGGTTGATGTTGTGATCCTCCCGCTGGGCTTTCACCAACTCACTGTGACTGTTGTTCGGGGGGTTTGCAGTCAGTATAGGTGGGGTCTCATCAGCCGTCGTGTTGAAGATGGCGATCCAAGCAACATCCTTCTCCTGAGCGATCTGACTCCCGTCCCATGTAGCCCGAACGGCCTCATCTGAAAAAGTCTCCGTACACTCAGGCATGTACTCCTCCATGTCCAACGGTAACCGTGATAATGTATCTGCGTCTGTGTTAGCTTTACCCAACGGCATTAAGTTTTGCTGTGCTCATAAAGTAAATCAGGGGGTTGTTATCAGTGTAAATGGTGAAATGGGGTGCGTAATACAAATCTCTGAACTTTTCGCATACGGCCCATTTCAGTGCGAGAAACTCCAACTTTCCACTATGTAACCAGTAGTAACGTTCCACTTGTGTCAAAGTCCGTGATCCATAACCTGTTACATAACTAGCCATTTTGATTTTGGTAAAGGACGACTCCCAATCCCTTAGCTGATGCATCAGTGTGCAATGTGAAAGGCAAATTAAAATCGGGGTAGGCTAGTACCGGTGAGCTTGTGAGGAGAGTAATTAGTTTTTCCAAGGCTTCTTGGTGTATGCTAGTCCATATAACAGGCTCTTTTGAATGGCGCTGGGTGCGTTTGTTGTCCTTCCTACTGACAGAATTTAACACTGTGCTTGACTTGGTTTGTAATAACTTAGATTGGCCCAGCTGTCCTGAAGAAATCCTGGATGTATGTGCGGTAATACCCTAAGAACCCTGTTAATTTACGTACGTCCCCCACAGTCTCAGGTGTTTTGGATGTGAGTGTTTTCACAGCTTCAAGGTCGCGCGGGTCAATCTTTACGTCTTCAGCGGACACTATCTTCCGCACGTACCTCACTTCGCTTTTAAACAACTCACATTTTTCCGGTTGTAGCTTCACTCCATGTTGTTGCAGGGTACGCAGCACCTTTCGGAGGCATTCTACATGTTTGTCAAATGCTTTGCCATAACACAATATATTGTCCAAATAAGGAACGCAACATTAATCTCGGAGGGGACCTAGCATCTCTTCCATACTGCGTTGGAAGGCGGCTGGAGCGTTTGTCAGTCCAAAAGGGACTCAGACCCACTCGTACAGACCCCAAGGAGTGGTATAGGCCATAAACTGCCGGGATCCCTCAGCCACAAAACCCTGGTGATATGCCTTTCCCTGGTCGAGGATACTAAACCATGCGTAACCACCGAGAGAATCTGTCAAATCCTGTATCCTGGGAAGGGGATGTCTGTCAGGAACGGTTTTCTTGTTCAGGAGTCTAT